AAATCTTTGCAATTTTAATATTATTTCTAGTTGATGAAAAATAAGTCACCCGAAGGAGTCCACACTTGGGTATTTCAATATAGAACCTATGCATGCAAATATATATTTCTAGAGATCCAAAACTAATTAATGTCGTTTGAGTGTCAAAAAGCACAGTTGTGTTTACAATTTGCTCTCTAACCTTTTACTTGAAATTAAGCTAACTATCCACATCCATCAATGAAACGACTTTCACAGAAGAGTCCAATCCATGGCATAAATGATAGGAACTTTAGAAAAGTCATTTCTTCTTCATTATTTATGTAAAAACATTAAATTTCTTAGGAACACAGGCTAAGGCTAACAAACTCTGTTTAATGTTGCTTTCATTGCTTTCTGTAGTCTTGTTACCAGAGAAGATTTTTATGTTCCAGAATTGCACAGAGAGAACTGACTATTATGGTTACCACTGTGGCCATCGAGACAAGGCACATGATTCCTAGGATCCCAGCAATGACCCTCCCTGGAGGTGATGGGAATTAAGGGACCTGCTATGGAAATTGTGGGGGCGGAGCACACAGTCTCACAAAGCTTTCTCTGCGTCTGGTACTTGAAGTCCACAGGCAGTAAACGACGGAAGATTACAAAACAGGCTGGGAGGTATTCCATGAGCAAGAGTTGGAACCCCATAAAAATAAAGTGAAACCCATGTTCATGAAGCTAAACACAGGCCAGTAACCCAGCAGTCAGAGAAACTAAAGGAAAAATCCCGGGAAAGGCAGAGCAATTACAGGCTTCGCTGCTGTTTCATGCCAGTGAGAGAAGTCAACAGATCAGCAACAAGTTTATATGTGTGTGCGTGTGTGTGCGCGTGTGCACGTGGACACTTGCTACAAAATTCAATTCATTTTATTCCAGTATGTGAGTGTACACATGTGTGCATGTGTGCACTCCTGTTGACCCAGTTTCTGCTGTGTGGCCAGGTTGGTGACCCTGGACAACCCCAGTTGTGCCCTCAGTGACGTCTGCAGGGATGGAGCACAGCCCATGCTGTTGGGCATTGCACTGTGTGATGCCATCCTTGGGACCCTCGGGGTGATGGAACCCAATAGGCTTCCTTAGGCTTTCCTTTCAGATGGACAGGAAATAGATGACGCTCTATTGTCATTCTGTTTTCTTTCTTTCCATGGATTCTGTGACCATCTTCGTCTCCTCATCGACTCTGCAAGAAGGGGATTCCTGGTGGGGGAAGGGTAACTGGTGAGAAATGAGGTACCAGGAAATTAGCAAAGGGTCTTCTGGTCATCTGGGGACAGTTCTCATGCGGTCCCCAGCCTAGTCTCAAGAGTTCTGGGCCGGTCACCCTGCAGCCTCGGTGCTGTGCCTAGGAAGAACCCTGGGAGAGCCAGCAAAATGGGGTGCCTGGTCTGAAAAATGTCCCCCCGTTCCTCTGGCTCTGTGGCTCAGGAATAGGCTGAGATATCATGTCCAGGCAGTGCCAGGCCACCTCACTACCCCCTTTGAGGGGAGCCCAGAGGGCTTCTGGCTGAGGCCAACTGTCCCTCCCTGTGTCCTGGAGGAAGGGCCTGACCAAGAAGACCCCCTAGGGCATGGCCTGTGGGTGCTGATGAGGGAAAGGGAGGTCTGTGGACTGAGGGAGGAGTCATTGGCAGGGGACATTGAGCACCGCAGCTCAGAGTTCTGCCCAGTGGGAACCTGGTCGGTGGGGGCCTGGTCAGTGGGGGTCTGGCTGGCATAAGCCTGGCCAGGTGGCTGCTAGGTGACTTCAGGCAGGATTTGTCCTTGGAGCCTCCTTGCCGCCATCTGTAGTGGGAACGAGTCATGGCACTCCAGAGGGCTGCTGGGAAGAGGAGGTGAGCAGGTGTGTGGAATCCAGCTCTGCCAAACAGATCTAGCACTTTACAGCCTAGCTGAGTCCCTTGCTAGGGAGGGGATCTGCCCTTTGCCTTTTGCCCCCAACCCTCAACCTTCTGCCCCCTATCCTCCATCTGCAATGCCAGGACTGCCCTGGATGGGGAGATCTGAGTTTAGGGAACACCGTGGATGCTCTGACGATGGCCATGGGTCCCGAGGCAGGAGACAGTGACAAGGGTGACCCAGTGTCTTGGGTGCAATATGAGTGGGGCAGCCGGGCTCAGCCAGAGCAGTGACAAACGCATGCACACGTGTTCACCCACATACAGATGCCTGCTCACATGCACAAACTGCACACGCGCATGTTGACACGTCAGAGGGTGGAGGGTGCTGACTGTGCCCTGCTGACCCAGGCAGGGGCCCATTGTGATGGGTGTCATGACCTCACAATATCACTGGTGCTGAGCACTCGCCCACCTGCTTGCCTGCCCTCTCTATGTCTGGAGCTCTTAGAGACAAGACATAGAGTTGTTTGGTTCTCAGAAGAGAAGATTTTGCTAAGTAAGAGACACAGCCGACTCAACCAACTCAGGTGAGTGTGACCTGCTCTGTTCCCTCCCTGCTGACCTGGGGACAGTCAGTACCTGGTGGGCAGTGCTGGCCTCTGGGCAGGTGCCGAGGAGGGTCATCCCTGAGCACTCACCGGGTGCCTGTTCTGGACTGACCTGGTGGAATCTGTGGGGTGGGTGCTATCTCCAAATGTACCCATTCCACAGGTGAGATGTCTAGGGTCAGAGAGGTGGTGACTGGCCAAGGGACCCAGATGTGATCCTGGCCTGTGCTTTCAGTCCTGCCCTGTGCACGCCCTGACCTCTGTAGCCCTAGATTCCAAATCTGCCCAGGGTTTTCTGCCCCCTGATGGGACAGAGTCTGGCCATGGAAGAGCCCCTGGGATGGAACTCCTATGGTGGGGTGGAGGGAGGTGGTGCTCGGTCCAAGTCTGTGCCCTAAGCTGGGTCCCCACAGGAGGAGGTCTCACCAACTCAGACTTCACATGCAGTCACTGATGGTCCCTGCGGGACCCACTGGACACATGGGGTCCCTTGTCTGGGAGTAGGGAGCCCTCTGCCTGTGGGCAGTTCTGGTAGGGGACCTTGAGCACTGCTGCTCTGGGGCCTGGGCAAGGGGGGGGACCTAGACAGTGGGGACCTGGTCAGGAAGGTCTGGTTGCTGGGGGACTGGTCAGCGAGGACATGGTCAGTGGGGAATTGGTCATCAGGGGCCTGGTCAGCAGAGATGTGACCACTGGGGCTTAGTCAACGAAAACCTGGTCAGTGGGGACGTGGTCAGCTGGAGCCTGGTCATCAGGGGCCTGATCAGCGAGGACCTAGTCAGAAGGCCTGGTCACCAGGAAAATGGTCAGTGAAAGCCTGGCCAGCAGAGGTCTGATTAGTGGGGGCCTGGCCAGATGGTTGCTGGGTGACCTCAGGCACAGGGTTTGTCCTTAAAGCCTCCCTGCCTCCATCCGTAGCAGAAATGAGTCATGGCATCCTGGAAGGCTACTGGGAGGAGGAGGTGAGAAGGTGTGTGGAATCTGACCCTGCCACTCACACCTAGCATTTTACAGTCTAGCTGAGTTCCCCCTAATGAGGGGTCTTGCCCTGTGCCCTCTACCTCCTATCCCCCATCTGCATCTTCAGGACTGTCCCGGGTGGGGAGGCCTGAGGTTGGGGAGGACCCATGGATGCTCTGATGCTGGCCACAGGCCTCAAGGAAAGGTGACACTGCTGAGGACTTGATGAGGACTTGGGTGCACATGGAAGCGGGACAGCCAGCCCTGGCCAGAGAAGCTACTTGTGCACACACATGTTCACCCACATAAACATCCATGCTCACCTGCACAAACACATTTTGACACCTTGGGGGCTGGAGGACACTGACTCTGGGCCCTCTTGACCTGGGAAATGGCCCATTGTGATGGGTGCCATGACCTCACAATGTCACTGGTGCTTAGTGACTGCCCACCCGCTCACCCGCCCACCTCTGTGTTGTGCAGCACTTGGACACAGGATACACACAGGTGTCTGGTTCTGTGCATAAACGACTTTTCTAAGTGAGAGATATAGCTGCCTCAGCAGACTCAGGTGAGTGACCTCTGGGCAGATGCCGAGGAGGGTCATCCCTGAGCACTCACCAGGTGCATGTTCTGCACTGACTAAGTGGACCGCCCTCTCCTTTGTCCTCACAGTGACTCTGTGAGGTGGGTGCTGTCCCCAAATGTAGCCATTCCACAGGTGAGATGTGTAGAGTCAGAGAGGCGGTGACTGGTGCAGAGACCCAGATGTGACCTGGTCTCTGCTCTCAGCCCTACCCTTTGCCATGCTGGACTTGAGCTCTGACCTCTGTGGCCTCCCTACTGTAGATTCCAAATCTTCCTGGAGTTCTGGACTTCAAGGAGGCAGGGTCTGGTCCGGGAAGAGCCACTGGGACAGAGCCTCTGTGGGTGGGGTGGAGGTTGAAATTCTCAGTCCAAGTCTGGGTCCTAAGCTGGGTCCCAAGCTGGGTCCCCACAGGAGGAGGGCTCACCAACTCAGACTTCAGATGCGGTCACTGATGGTTGCTGGACCCACTGGACATATGGGATCCTTTGTCTGGGCGTGGGGCAGGGATCCTTCTGCCCTCAAGCAGTTGTGGAAAATGAAGGAGCCCTGGAGGGCTGCCTGGAGGGTGACGATCGTCCCTCCTGGTCAAAGGGGCTTGGGGACTGGAACCCTCCCGCAGCGTCCCATTCTCTCTGTCTGATCCTCTAGAGGCCTTACCATCCCTTTGCCCCGAGTGTTCCTGGCAGGGATGGTCCCCCCGGGTGTTCTCTAGGACTAAGGCCCTAGAGTTCTCTTGCTCTTTCTTGGTGACCCAGGAAAACAAAGTCCCCTCCGGTATTGACAGCTAGGAATTGTGGTGTCTGCCATCCTCCACCTGAGACGGGGTCTCCACGAGCACAGAGGCTGCTCCGGAGTCAATAGATCATCTTTTCCTCAAACCAAACTGCTTGGCTGGTGTTGTTCCTGAAGCGGCTTCACTGGCTAGAGTGAGTGAGAATTGGGGCAGAATGAAGCAGTCACCAGATGTCTTGTTTCCTACAGAAAACTGAGTATCTTCCTGGTTTCTGAACGATCCTAAGAGACATCCGGTCCCTGACTCCACTTGCCTCCAGGTGCCCAGAACAGGCCATCGTGGGCCCTTCACCATCCGCAAGTGGACACTGTTTGTCCTGCCGGGGCAGGTGTGTGTCTGCCTTGGGGTGTTCGGGGACAATGGGCCTCTCTGTCCCCGAATGGGTCTCCACGTGCTCAAGTCCTCAGGAAGGAGCCCGTCACTGGTTGGAGGCAAGGACTCCAGAGATCCAGCCGGGGGTGGGGCCACTTAGTCTGGCCCCTTGTCATCTGGGAGGGGTGGTGGAATGGGGCTCACCAGACTGGCGTGTGTCTGGCAGTGCAGTGAGCGTGGTTCGGCTGTGCTCTAGAGATCTTGGGTGCGGCAGAGCCTTTGGATGACTTTGTCTTGCAGGATGGAGATGGATGAGGACCCGGATACCCTGCCTGCCCAGGGGCAAGGCAACACCATCATTACTAAATATGAGCAGGTACAGGTTGGGCTGCTCCCTCAAGGGAGGCAGGACCTTGCCTCTCCCGCTGTGCCCTGGTCAGAGGGTCCTGGGCTCCCTAAGATCACCGGGTGGAGAGGGGCTGCCCACATCCCTGGGCCCCCCCACACCTCTCACCTTGCCCCCGCTTACCCTGGCCTCCTCTGGGTTTCAGGGACACCAAGCTGGGGCAGCAGTGGACATGGGGAATGAGCAGGTCAACATCAGGAAATACATGAATCACCTCGGGATTGTGCAGTGAGTCTTCTGTCCCCCTGCCCCCAGCCACCAATCTCACCTCAGGGATGGGTTTTGCTTTTAGAAAGGCTTCTCTGAAGTAGGACACGTCTCCCTGGCTGGACCAATCTCCTCTCCAGGGTCAGAACTCTTCCAGGCTCTCCTGCAGGCCCAGCCCGTGGTCATGGTTAGGGCATAGCCTCATGACACATTTAGGGAACTCAGGAGAGGGAGTCAGGACAGAGAGGGGACTCTCAGGGCAGGCCCGTGGACTCTCAGCACTGTCATCTCCAAGTAAGCTGGAGAGGAGGAGGCAGCCTGAGGATCTGGCCCTGTCCCCTTAGGGTCTGCCTTGGTGAGATCTGAGAGTTGTGGCCACAGGGCAAGGGGGCATCTGGCCTGGCCTGTGGGCAGCTGTATAGCAGACCTCTGAGGGCTCGGGGGCTCAGCCAAGAGGAAGGGGCATGGGGACAGTGAGGGCCTTGGCCCTGGCCCTGATAGGTTGTGGAAGAAGAAGGGCAGGGCCCGGCCTTGGCTTCTCCCTGAGGCCAGGGGGACAACAGAGCGAGCAGCTGAAGGCCCTGGGAGTGGTGCTGGGAAGGGACCTGTGCTTGGTAAGGGGAGCCCAGCCTGGAGCCAATCCCTCAGGACTCACAGGATGGAGAGAGGGAGGAGCCTGGGGGAAGGGGGAAGGGTGAGACCTTGAGACCTGCCACTTCTGGAACGCACCTGAACCAAGCCAGCCCAGGGTGGAGTTGACAGCCTGGGCAGGACAACAGATGGGGTGGGCAGGGAACAGTGACTCATCTGGGACCCCTCAGTGGGGGGACTCGGTCAGTCCCCAAGGCTCTGCGTGGCCCTCCAGAGACTCTGTTTCCTGCTGGCTCAGTCAGCACTGTGCAGGGTGGATGGAGGGGCTAAGTCGGGGCAGACAGGACAGTAGGTGGAGGACAGGTAAGCATCCCATGTCCTGGTTTTTGCAGTGGCTGGGAGGAGGCTGAGGGCTGAAGGCCAATTACCCTGAGAGCCAGCTGAGGCTGCAGCGGGAGTGGTGGGGCCAGCCCCACTGCCTGAAGGGCCCTTGGTCACCCTTGTTGCCTTGGATGTCTCCCCAGCAGTGCTGGGCAGCCCAGTGAGAGAGTGACCAAGGCATGGGTGTGGATGTATCTGGGAGATCTCACTCAGAGGTTCTGACAGGACAGGGTCACAGAAGGGCCAGGGTGGCCGGAAAGAGGGTCACAGTCTCTGGGCCAGGCAGGATGGGGGAAGGTGGGGAGCAGGCAGGGTGAGCGGCCAGGATGCAGGGGAAGGCAGGTGCACGCTGGGAGATCAGACCCTGCAAGGCCCATGGGGAGTGTCAGATGAGATGGGCTCCAAGTGTGTCCTCAGGGCACCAGGCAGCGCTCAGGCCAGGCTCCCTGGACTCTGGTGGGTGATGTGGTCACTCCTAAGGCACTGCTGTAAGTCGGGGCTTGGCCACCCACCCGGGGCGGCACCCATCCCGTCTCAGAACTGGACTTTCTCAGCATCCACAGAGGGTGTCACCTCCAGCCCTGGAGGAGCAGCCCCATTGTGCAGCCCGAGGCACCCCATGGGCCCCGAGTGACCGCCACCAGACCAGCCTCGAGCTCCCTCCTCTTCAGGGTCCCAGTGCCTCGCAGGTGTCAGATCCGCAGGAAGGCCCTTGCCGTCCTTCTCTGTGTCTTCTCCCAGGCTGAGACTTAGGGTGGATGGGGATAGGCTGGTCCTTCCCCGGGGCCCTCTCAGGTAGGGGGATGGCTCCTGGCCCGGCCAGGTCCTCAGCTCTGCCTGGGTTGCCTTACAGTGAGACGGAACTGCCCCCGATAAGAGCCCTGGAGGTGAAGGTAAGAGTCTGTGCCTGCTGCGTGGGAGGCCACTCCAGGGACCAGGAATCGGGTGGTCAGTGAGGCAGAGGGGGTGGCCTATGGGCCTGTGTGGTGGTGAGTGGGCCACAGCTGTCACTGGGAGGGGCGACCTTTCCTGCTTCACTCTGTTCCCATGAGGGCTTGACCAAAGCCCAAACCAAGAACTGCAGTCCTGGCTCAGAGTCCACTGCCTGTTTGAACCAAGACCCTAGCTGAAGGCTGGACCTAACCCAAACTCGGGGCATTTATGGCCTGAGGATGGCTTGTTCTGGCATCACCAGTCCAGACTACCAGCTCTGGTTCCTTCAGAGGGTCTCAGCCCCCGGGGTCTGCCCTTTCCTGATTCCTTCAGGCTGGGTCTCTTCAGGGCCCCAAAGCCCTGGACCCAGCATCCACGGGCCACTGCCAGGGGCCTGGCAGCTCCACTAACTCCATCATGGCTCATTTGACAGCAAAGACGCAAGGAAAGTAAACGTACCAACAAGTGGCTAAAGATGTTTGCAGACTGGCCAAAATATAGGAACACCAAGAAGGTAACATGGGGAGGGAGTGGCCCCCGTGACAGCTCTCTGCAGAGCCAGGGGACAGGCACCCATAGCAGACCTGGCACTGTCTGCCTCAGTGGGTGGGTGGCACCCTGTCCTCACCATAGCACAGCAGGCCTGTCCACCAGCTTTCCTCCGCGGAGTCACCCTGTGTCCTGTCTCACTGGTGTGTTCTTCTGTCTGTAGCTGTCTCAAAGAGTATACAAAGGCATCCCCCTGGCGGTGCGGGGCCAGGCATGGTCACTTTTGCTAGATATTAACAAAGTCAAGTCCCAGAACCCGGGCAAATATGAGGTAAGTCCCTCCCACACTCAGCCAGGGCAGGACAAACAAGCCAGGCTGTATCAGGAGCCCAGGACTCCAGCTGGAGGGAATGTCGAGCCTGGGTTGGGGATGGGGGCTGTGGTCAGATGCACATCCTGGGCACAGATGGTAACTCAGGCACCACAGGTGCGCTGGGCTCCGTGACCCTCCCTGGCTTCAGAAACAAGGCAACAAGGAGCTTTCTGCGGAAGGAAACCTTCCTTGCTTCCTTCCAGAAGTGCTGACTGACAGATGACTGCTGTTTGGGGCAAGGAGTCTTTTTGTCTGTTCTGAGGCTGCTTCCTCCTCTTGGTCCTGCCCTACAGGTCATGAAGGAGAAGGGCAAGAGGTCCTCCAGAATCATCCACCGCATCCAACTAGATGTCAGCAGCACCCTGCAGAACCACATGATGTTCATACAAAGATTTGGAGTCAAGTAAGGCCTATGAGGGCTGCAGGGGTCACAGGGAAGATGGGGGCAATCCAGAGGGATGAGGGCATACCCAGGGCAGAGGCCAGGGTCACCCAGGAGGGGTGACAGAGCCACCAAGGCCTCTCCTAGCCCAGGGAGCAGCCAGCACCATGGACTGAGCACCTCCCTGGCTCTAAGCCCTGGGCCGGGCTGGGACGTTTAGGGCCAGAACCCAGGTGGCTCCCAAGGAGATGGAAGGCAGAAAAAAAAATCATGCAGATGGTAAAAAGTGCTCTCGGTGACCCACAACTACCCAGGATAGGGACCCATGGGAAGGTGGCAGGATGGCAGGGCTTGGGAGCCTTCCCGGGCAACACGGACAGCCCAAAATACTAGAAAGCATGCGGGGCTCTGGAAACTCTCATCCCTGGCTGGTGGGAACGTGACAGGGCACAGCCACTTTGTAAGTCAGATGGGCTGTGACTCACAAAGTTCAGTGGCCTCGTACCACACATTCCCAAAGTGTCACAGATATTGACCACACTGATTTGAAAACTGAGGTTCAAGTAAAACCCGCATGCCACATTCACTGCTTGATTGATTGTCACTCACACCCGGAGGCTACCGAGATGCTTTTCAACACGGGAGCTTAGGAGGAAGGGGGTTCCACTCTTTAGAGAGAGGTGACTCAGGGAGGAGAAGGAACGAACCCCTAATGCCCGCAGGAACATGGGTGGATCTTAGATGTGTATTGCTGAGGGAATGACGCCAGACCCCACAGGCTACCACCGTGGGATTCCAATTCATCAGCCATTCTGGAAAAGGGCAAACCATAGAGACAGAGAAAAGGTCAGGATGGCCAGGGACTGAAGAAGCCGGGAGACGTTGGCTGCAAAGGGGACACGCTGGGGACTTGGAGGCTGAAGGAGCTGCTCTGGGAGGGGCTGCAGTGGTGGACGGGAGGCTCTGCACATTGGTTCAGAACCATGGAACTGCACATCCCAAAGACTAGACTTCTGTGTGTGCAAACTGAGAAAAAGGGGAGGAAAAAATCAACCAGAGTGAAAATAATCACTGATCCAAATGTACACCTATGATATTTGCATTGCAAGGAATGTGGATTTTACAGAAAAAAAATTCCTAAAAACTCAGGTGTCCTGAAGAGCTCACTGCTTATTTGGGGGATCATCTGGACCCAGAATTGTGTTTGCTGTCTGGGTTTGTAGAGAAAATGAAACTGACAGCATCTGCACAAAACATACAAAATCCTCTTTTCCCTCTTTTCTAGGCAGCAGGAATTATGTGACATCCTTGTGGCCTATTCTGCATATAATCCTGTGAGTATTCCCGGGCAGCGATATTCCTGGGCCATGTACCCATATTCACAGGCATGGGTGTCTCTTGGGGGTGTCGGCACTTCTTGAAAATTCAGTGTTCGTGACCCACCAGCTCGTAGTAGGCAGAACTCAAGCTCACTGCTGGCAGAAAAGGGTTGAAGCCCAGACTCCTGCTGTCACCTGGACCCAATCACCATGTCTCAGATGAAGAAATGACCTTCCCTTCCTAGTGTTGCCCCAAAGCCTAGGAGCCTGTCAGGGTCCTACCAGGATGGTCCTCGTAGGAGACAGGTTTGAGAAGTTGCTGAGGTGTCTGATGGGTCAGGCTCCTGTCATGAAATGAGTTTGCATCCTGGGGGAGCCTCTTCTTCACTGGAAATCTGGCAAGGATCCAATTTCCTCTTTGCCCGATCCCCTTAGAAGCATAGCAGATAGGGAGGTGCGTCACCCAGGTGGCTACTCCTGCTTGGCACCCACTTTCCAGACCATTCCAGGCAGGGAGAACACTGAGCTGACTGCATGAGCTGCCCACATGAAGGACCCAGCTGCCCCCTGTGTCTGGCAGGCAGCCCTTGGGCTGTTGCGGGACCGTTTGTGTGGTGGTCAGCGCCCCGCTGCCTGCCCTCGTGGTGGGTGCAGTTCAGAGGTGCTGCCCCAGGCCTGGCACAGTGGCCTCCCCAGCCTGGCACAGGGGAGGTAGCATGAACAATCCTTGACTGTGCCCTTTCGGGCCATGTGAGCTTGGACGCTCGCTGCAGGAGTCCACCCATGCTCCTTGTCAACTGAGTTGTGTGTGATCTGCCCAGTCCTCATGCCCAGTGCCAGGGGAGGGGTGCGGAGGCTGCACCTCAAATCTCCTGGGGCCTGAGGCAGGTGTCCCCAAGGACCTCTGTTATCTCTGGTGACCTCAAGTCCTCCCAGGTGGCCTCAGCCCTCCCAGGTGACATCAGCCCCGCGGTGACTCTGGCTCGCAGAGTGGGCTACAAGGGACAGGCCACGTCACGCCATCTCCTCCTGTATCTGCAGAGAAGACGCTCTGGGCACAGCCCAGCTGCTGGCCGAAGTGAGAGAGCACACTCCCTGCAGGGTAGGTGGTGCTTCTTATCGGCCTTACACAGCCATGCCAAGGGATGGCCACCCTGGCAGTGACCCAACTTCCAGGCAAGGTGTCTTCCTTGTATCCCAGCATTTGGAGCCTCAGGATGTCCTTCTGAGGTCCCACAGCAGCCTCCGGTCTGGACAGACCTACCTCAAGTCAGGCGCCTTTCATCCTAATATCAGAGGACATGGATACACTCCCAGGCCGCCTCTGTCACCCAAGCCAGCCCGATTTGTGCAGGCGCCACTCACCTCCTTGAAAGTCCTCCTGCCTCCCTAGCTGGCTGTGCTCCCAGCCACCTTCCCTCCTACAGATGGGCCAACAAAGCCAAGGTGGCAGTATCTGCCCATCCCATGTCCCCCAGCCTGACCCCACATCCAAGAGATGGCCCATAGCCCCAGCTTCCCACCTGTTCTCCCCAACCAGCGCCTGCCTCGTGGTGTCAAGGCAGGTTGCCTTCCGAACACCTGGACCGGGATGCTACTAGAGCAACACCTCAGCCAGAGCCCTCCTTGCCAAGGCTGAGGCTGCATGCTGGGGTCACCAGATGGGAGGAGGGAGGCCTCGGGGTCTGAGGTCCCCTGCCTGCCCAGATCTTCAGCTGATGCCTCACATCTTGGGCGTGGGATCTGATGGGGTGATGGAGTCAGGAGACTTCTCAGTATTCTACAGCCCAGATGCTACCCAGCTCGAGAGGCTCCTATCACACCAGAAGCAGGTGCTGCACAAGTCCTTCCCGAAGATCATGAGACACCTGGTGAGTGGATGACACCCTTGGCTCCTCCCAGAGGCCCTGGGCCCCATAGGCCAGGAGGCTCGAGTCCCTCATGGAGCTGGCAAGGCTGAGTCCAGCCACACACGGCTTGACCTGGGATGCAGACTCCCATGGTTTTGGTGTTGGAGTTTCCTTCTGCCTGGCAGAGGCAGAGGCGCTGGGACCAGGACCGAGCTGCAGCTGAGCAGGGCTAAAAGAGTGTGTCCACCGGGTGTATCTGTGCAATGGCGGGTGTTGGGCCCTGGCCATCACCTGGGTTGTGCCTCTTAAGGGAAGGGTCTGACAGGGGGCCTGGAAGTGGGAGGATTTCAGGAGCTCAGGGCCCTGAGCACCTCTGCTCCTCCCTTCCAGGGCAAGAAGGAAGGCTGTGCATGTTGAGGTTCCATGCTGATGAGGCTCCTCCGGTGTTTCCTTGATGTGGTAAGGAGGCACAGGGAGACCCCAGCCCTGGGACTCTTCTACCCTGCAGTGCCCAGCACCCTCAGCTCAGAGTTCAGCTCCCCCAGGAGGACCTGGCTTACCTCTAACCCACAGGAGTACAGGCAGGTCCCTGCAGGCTCACAAAGCCAGGCTCTGCCCAAGAGGGGGCATCCCATGGCAGAGGCCAGGGCTCAGGCCCAGCCCGTGGAGCCAGGCTGGGGCAAGGACCCGACATGAGGGCCAGGAAGCCCAAGTCCTCAGGAAACCCCTCCTTCAGAAGTCACAGCCCTGCTGAGATGGAGTCCCCCATGAGGGAGCCACAGGACCTTGTCTGACTCAGAACAGTCTTACGAGGGGTCTCATCCCATGGAGGATCCCAGCACTTCAGGGGACTGAAACCCCAGTGGGCCCTGCTCAGTCCACTGGCCCCAGCTTTATAAGGCCGAGCTCTCGCCACACTTGCTGTCCCCACAGAAATCATTCGGGCTCACCTGAGACTGTGGGATGTGCTCGCTCTTGGAGGGCAATCGATTACTGACAGCCATGGCGCATGTATCATTCAAAATACCTGAGTAAGTCCCATGTGCCCGAGGGTGCTTGGGGAACGTGGGACAGACCCGCTGGCCTGAGGGACGTGTCCGCCGCCTTGCTGCTCCATCGGGTTGAGGTCTGGCCTGGTGGGCTGGAGCAAGGCATGATGACACTGAGTCCACTGACGCGGCCCAGATGAAAGTCAAGTGTGGTGAGCACTTCCTGCCCGGCCTTCCCCAGTTGTCGCTGCCTGTGCACAGCTGGACCCCGGGAGTGGCCAAAAGGACCAGGCACCACCCAGTGGGAGGTGGGCCTGGTGGAAATGGGGTTGCAGGCACTGACCCCTCCCAGGGAGCCTTCCTGGCCTGATCCGCCCTGTCCTAGGCGCCTCGTGAAGCTTTCCTGGAGCACCGTCTGGGAGTTTCAGGAGCAGATGTCTCAGAGCTGGGCCCTGGAGGACAACACAGTCCTCAGGAATCTTCAGAAACCTCTATGAAGGAACTCACAAAAAAACACCGGGACCTGCCACCCCAGGTGAGCCCCCAGCACCAGTCCCCTCCCAATGTTTCCCTCTGGGACAGTCAATGGTGAGAATGCCCTGGCCCCCAGTCCTCCTACCTGGCCTTCCTCCTGCACCCCTTCTTCCTCCTCTTCCTCCTCTAAAAACTCATGAGTCTGCCAGTCCTCAGGACGACACTGAGTGCATGCCGTGTGCTGGAACATGCTGGTGGACAGAAGCAGGGGGCATGGGCAACACCCCAACCCCTCCTCCACTTTCCACATTGTCCCACCTCACCCCCTCAAAGACCCCTGAGAGACACTGGGGGCAATCAGGCCCAGCCTTAGGCCTCCCTTACCTCCAGGCGGCAGGGCCCTCGTTCTCTGTGATCAAATACAAGGGTGTCAAAACAACAAGCCCGGGGGGATAAGAGGAGTCAGTGTCCCTGGCCAGAGAGGGATTCGAGGCATTGGGGAAACCTGACCCAGGCCACAACCAAGAGTTCAGCTGGGTGTGGGATCGCTGCAGCCCTGGCATGGGGTGGCGGCCTGGAGGAGCAGAGACCTGTGCCCATTCCCTTCTCACCTGCTGTGAGACAGGCCCCGTGTGAGGTGACAAGGGGGGCTGGGTGACAGTGCGTCCCTCCCACCTGGAGTCCTGAATCGGGGCTGCCAGAGCTGCCCTGAGGTGGGGCGTGAGGCAAGGAAGCTCTGAGCCACCCTGAACCCACCAGAGGCCATTTTCAGAGCAACCTCAGGTTCCCAAGCTCCCCACCCCAGACTGCACGAAATGCGCCTGGGATCAGCAGCCTGCAGGAGTCGTCCTCAGTGTCCAGACCAGAGGGGCTGCACAGGGACCCAGAGGACTCCAGAGACTCAGGCCTGTGGGGCGTAGCCCTCAAGAGACCAGATGGGCTTGGAGAAGATGCAGCCATGTCTGCTTCTTTCAGCCGAGCTGGAGCAGTAGTCCTCAGTGTCCCCTGGCATTGAGCCTCCACTTGAGAGGACAGACTGGCAAATCCCCACCCCACCAGCTCCCAGCTCCAGGCTCATGCCATCAGTCCCCTGGGACAAAGCCTTGTCTCTGCCAGCCTGAGGACGGGACGGTGCGGGACGTTGGGTTCAAGTCTGGAAGGCTGTAGGGACCCCGGAACGAGAGATTTGCTTGTCTGAAGGGCGCAGGTCTCGAGATGATGGCAGCCTGTCCCCGGGTGAGTCAGGCTTTGTATTGCACGGAAACACTTGTCCAGGAACGCTAGGCCACAGCTCACAGACCCGCATGTCAGGGAGTCCCGTATTTCCTGTGCTGCCATTTTGAGCAACTCACCAGACTCTGGGGGCTTCCCCAGGGCAGGGCAGAAGACTGCTGTCCGATGGGCCCAGAGGCTCGAGATGGAACAGGATGTCCTGGTGAGGAGTCAGGCTTCGTATTTAGAAACATTTTGTCCGGGAACTCTATATCACAGCTCCACACAGACCTGCATGTCAGGGCCCAGGGAGCTTCTCAGAACCCAGGGCGGCGAGAGCTGCTCTCTGTAAGCCCAGAGGTTCAAGATGGCGCGGCAGCCTGTCTCCGGTGAGGTCAGGCCTTGTATTCCACCCCAGAGGCTTGTCCGGAACACTACGCCACAGCTCACACAGACCCGCATGTGGTCCATATTTCTGTGCTGCCATTTTAGACACGGCTCCTGGGACTCTGTCACTTCTCCATCTTCTGTGGACAGCAGCCCTGGAACAACAAGGCGCACCCTTGTGAACCCACTGGGACCGCGACACAGGCCCTGCCTGGGTTTGCTTTGACAGGGAGGAGGCACTTCCAAGAGATACCCCTGCAACAGGTGTCCCCTGCCCGCTACTCCTCAGTAGAAGAACAACATGGCATGGAAGGGAACCCGGCAGCACCTGTCAACTGCCTCGCAGCCCCAGATGGCTGCTGGACCTTGACTTTTACTGTCATTTTATTTTTATTTTATATTTTGGTCTTCTGGGCCTTGGGAAGTACTTAGCGGGGCACTTGGTCCCCTCACGGCCTCAGGAGGGAAGGCTGAGCATGGGGTTCCCTGGCCCCAGCCAGCCAACAGCGTGCCCTGGGGCCCCTGACCTGGGTCACAGCCATCCCCGAGGCCCAAGTCCTCGGCCCAGAGGGACCTGGCTTCAACCTGAGTCCTGGGGGAGAGGAGTACCGCAGGCCCACAGGACTAGGGCAGAACCACAGGTGCTGCTGAGTTCACATCAGACAACCTGGGCAAGCTGGGCCAGAGATGCTGAGCCCGTACAGTGATGATATGGGCAGCACAAGGGGGTCAACAGCTGTGAACACCGCTGCCTCTTCCCAACTCCATCACTGCAGTGCAGGCAGTCTGCACTCCGGAGCCTGGCCCAACAGTGCCGAGTGCCCAGGTCTGCTATGCCCAGCATGCCACCTGGAGGCTTTGAGGCCCACATGCCACACCACCCCCTCCTGGAAGCCTCGTCCTGCAGCTCAGCCGCTGCCACAACCACAGCAGGCACCGCTGCCAAGCTCCTTCCAGTCAGGCTTCCTAGAATGCAGAGGAGCCTCAGCGGCTCAGACTGTGAAGGTGGTTTCATCCACATTTCCATTGTTCCCACCAAAGAGAATCCCTGCAGAGGATGCTCTTGATCAAAGAGTGGGCAAAGCGGCATGCCAGGAGATGGAGTCAGCTTCTTTCCCTGGCCACCATGTTAGACGGGGACAAAGTGGCCATCAGACAGGCATGGGACAGAAGAGGCTCAGCATGCTGCATGTGCCCTGACCAAGGCTGACCAGGCCAGCACCACTGCCAAACATCCATCTGCTGGCGAGGGAGCGTGGTGTGGATCCTGGGCCTCTTTCCCAGGAGGACCGGCTGGCTGCCTGTGGGCAGGCTGCCCACTGTGGAGGGCTGAGATTGGCCTTCACTGCAGGAGCCCCTACCTTTATATAGACTTGCTGCGTCCTTCCTGTCCACCATCATGGCAGCCCACACGGCATTGCTTAGAAAACCCTAAAGACTCCTAGATTTGATCAATGAAATCAGTAAAAGTCTAAGTTTACAAAATCAATGTACACAAATCAGTAGCACTAGTCTAAGTTTACAAAATCAATGTACACAAATCAGTAGCACTAGTAAACATCAAGAATGACCAAGGTGAGAATATGCCCTATGTTCACAGATTAGAGAGAATATGCCCTATGTTCACAGATTAGAAGAATCAATATAGCAAAAATGACCATATTAACCAAAGCAATTTACAGATTCCATGCCATTCCTATCAACGTACCACTCTCATTCTTCACAGAATTAGAAAAAGTATCCCTAAAATTCACAGGGAATCAAAAAAGAGCCCGAATAGCCAAAGCAATCCCAAGCAAAAAGAACGAAGTCAGAGGCATCACATTACCAGATTTAAAACCATACGACAAAGCTGAAGTAACCAAAACAGCAATGGTACTTGTATAAAAGTACATATGTCAACCAATGGAACAGAATAGAGAACCTAGAAATAAAGCCAAATATGTATAACCAACTGACCTTTCACAAAGCATACAAAGACATAAACTGGGCAAAGAACACCCTATTCAATAAATGGTGTTGGGAAAATTGAATAGCCACATGTAGAAGAATGAAACTGGATTCCTATCTCGCACCATATATAAAAATTAACTCAAGATGGATTAGGCCTAACACGTGGTTCACATCTGTAATCCCAGTACTTTGGGAGGTCAAGGCAGGAGAATGACTTAAGCCCAGAAGTTTGAGACCAGCCTGGGCAACATAGTGAGACCTCATGTCTACCAAAAAAAAAAGAAAAAAAAAAAAACATATATATATATGTATATATATATGTCTCTGTCAGTCAGGCTGGAATGCAGTGACATGGAGGCCGAGGTGGGAGAATTACCTGAGGTCGGGAGTTCAACACCAGCCTGATCAACATGGAGAAACCTTGTCTTACTAAAAATACAAAATTAGCCAGGTGTGGTGGCACATACCTTTAATCCCAGCTACTCAGAAGGCTGAGGCAGGAGAATCACTTGAATCCAGGAGGCGGAGGTAGCCATGAACCGAGATTACGCCATTATACTCCAGCCTGGGCAATAAGAGTGAAACTCCGTCTTAAAAGAAAAGAAAAGAAAAGCCTTCTGCACAGCAAAAGAAATAATCATCAGAGTAAGAGACAACCTACAGAATAGGAGAAAACATTTACAAACTATGCATCTGACAAAGGACAAACAAATCAGCAAGAAAAATGAAAATAATCCCAACAAAAAGTACACAAATGACATGAACAGATATTTTTCAAAAGAAGATGCACAAGTGGCCAACAAACATATTTTAAAATGCTCAATATCACTAATATTCAGGGAAATCAAAACTAAAACAACAAAGAGATGTCACCTTACTCCAGCCAGAAAGCTCATTATTAAAAAGTCAAAAAACATTAGATGTTGGTGCAGATGTGGTGAAAAGGGAATGCTTATACACTGCTGGTAGGAATGTAAATTAGTACAACCTCTATGAAAAACAGTAGAGAGATTTCTCAAACAACTAAAATAGAGCTATCATTCAATCCAACAATCCCCTACTGGGTAGCTACCCAAAGGAAAAGAAATCATTATATCAAAAAGACACCTGCAAACGTGTGTCTATTATAGCACATTTCACAATTGCAAAGATATGGAATCAACCTAAGTGTCCATCAACCAATGAATGGAATAAATAATATGTGGTATACATACATCATGAAGTACTACTCAGCCATAAGAAGAATGAAATAATGTCTTTTGCAGCAACTTGGAAGGGACTGGGGGCCATTATTCTAAGTGAACTAACTCAGGAATGGAAAGCCAAATAAAACCATGTTCTCACTTATAATAGGGAGTTAAGTTATGGGTACACAAACGCAGACGGAGTGGTATAATGGACATCGGAGAATCGGAAGTAGGGGAGTGTGGGAGGAGGGTGAGAGATGAGAAACTACCTACTGAGGTACAATGTGTACTACTCGGGTGATGGGCTCACTAAAATCCCAGACTTCACCACCATACAATTCATCCATTTAACCAAAAACCACCTGTATCCCTAAAGCTATGAAATTTTTTAAAAAGTTTTCAAAAAGAATAAAACTGTATATATATATATATTTTTTGAGACAGAGTTTCGCTCTGTCGCCCAGGCTGGAGTGCAGGGGTGCCGATGTCAGCTCACTGCAAGCCCTGCCTCCCGGGTTCACGCCATTCTCCTGCCTCAGCCTCCCGAGTAGCTGGGACCACAGGCGCCCAGGACCACGTCCGGCTAATTTTTTGTATTTTTTTTAAGTAGAGACGGGGTTTCACCATGTTGACCAGGATGGTCTCGATCTCCTGACCTTGTGATCCGCCTGCCTCGGCCTCCCAAAGTGCTGGGATTACAGGCATGAGTCACCACGCCCAGCCAAAACTGTATAAATTTTTTAAAAATTACTTTGGGTTTAGAAAAGTGACCAGTTCATGCTCTGTTGGTTGAACTATAAATTAACACAAACATTCTTGTGAAAAATTAAGAAATAATGATCCAAGTTCTTTTTAAAAAGTTCCTATATTTCAACCAAATAATTCTATATTAGAGAATTTATTCAAAGTAAACAATTTAGGAATGTAGAAAAAGATTTATATAAAAAATGTTCTGGGCTGGGCATGATGGCTTATGCCTGTCATACTAATGATATGGGAGGACAAGGCAGAAGGAATGCTTGAGGTCGGGAGTTGGAGATCATCCTGAGCAACATAGTGATACCCTGTCTCTACAAAACACTTAAAAGTTAGCCAAGCATGGGAATGTGCACCTGGAGTCCTAACTACTTAGGACGCTGAGGCAGGAGGATGGAGTTCAAGGCTGCAGGGAAGTATGGTCACACCAGTGAAGTCCAGCCCCAGGCACAGAGTGAGACCCTGTGCCTACAAATAATGATGATGATAAAAGATATTCCTTACATCATTAATTATAAGAACAAGATAATTTTTTTTTTTTTTTTTTTTTTTTTTTTTTTTTTTTGTGGGGGGGTTTTTTTTTTTTCCCCCGGGTGGTGTGGGGGGGGGCATTCTCCTCTTACCGCCAGCTCCGCCTCCCGGGTTCACGCCATTCTCCTGCCTCAGCCTCCCGAGTAGCTGGGACTACAGGCGCCCGCCACTGCGCCCGGCTAATTTTTTCTATTTTTAGTAGAGACGGGGTTTCACCGTGTTAGCCAGGATGGTCTCGATCTCCTGACCTTGTGATCCGCCCGCCTCGGCCTCCCAAAGTGCTGGGATTACAGGCGTGAGCCACCGCGCCCGGCCAAGAACAAGATAATTTTAAAACCCAAATTACAATTTGTTAAATGAATAACAAGATTTTATATGGTGGACTTCTATATGGCCATTAAGATTGCAAATATACATTCATTTATTAGAAGAGTTCACAGTTAATAATTTGTTTTATTATTTCCAAGAATTTCATATTCCACAAGACCAAAAATATTTCTCCCTCGTTAATCTGCAGAAGGTATTGTCTTTAGTATAAATATTTCTTTAGAACTAGAATGTCATACCTCAAATCGTACAGCTCTTTCTCCCATTCAATTTTTTGATGCTCTAACTATAATTTTGTCTTTTTTGTTTCAGATAGCTCATTTTGTAGTAGACTGACCGTATTTTCTGTTTGTTTAATTTTTACTCTAAGTTGGTCACAGCGATTATTCTTAAGTTTCAGTAAGCATTCACATAAACAAAATGTGTCTTGGATTCTTGGTAGGCTAACAGAATCTGTCAGGGAGAAAACAAGGTAGAAACAAAATATATGAGTACTTTTTCGGTATAAAAAACTGTGCATTTTAAACATTTTCTCCTTCATACATTGAACAAATATGCACTGAATGCCTACAATGTGGCAGACATTCTACTAAGCTCTGCAGATAAAACAGACAAGACCGCTACTCTCATTTAGCCTTAAGTGTAGTGAGGAGCAAAGACAACAAAAATGACAATTATAAATTCAGACAGATGGTCTAAGAAAACAGTTCTATGATCACATAGGAGAATTTGATCTATACTGGGTCCAGGGAAGATTTCCCTGAGGAAGAGATGACTACCCTGAGAAATGAAGGGTGAGAAGGAAGCAGTTAAGCAAAGGGGTAGAGAAGTATTCTAGCCAGTCGACAGAAGGTGCTGAAGCTCTGCTGCAATCTGCTTCTGGCCACAATGGACAGCAAGTACTGATTTACCTTCTTGCCTGAAACAACCAAAAAGGAAACAGAAAAAATACATTATACAATGATTTACCAGGGAGTGGACTTCAGGTAGTGAAGACAGTGATCTGATCCCCCTTAAGACAGGAAACAAATGAAATTCATACCAGCACTCCAGCTCCCTGCCTTCACAGAGTTTCCAGGCTACCACACAGAGAAAAAACTGACATAGAATCTGACTGGACGGTGGGAGAGGACAAAGAGGACTAAGATGGTGCATTTCCGGGTTCTTCATCACCAACTTATCCGTGCGTGGGAAAATGCAGCCCGCGCCCAGGAAAAATACAGACCAACTGCGCAGGCGCAACATGGCGTCCGATCCAGGAAACCAAAACTTACCTGGCCGCACCTACAGAACCCCCGGACACAACCGTGTCCCGCCTATTGCCCTCCCACTCCCAAGCCTTAGACAGAAAACCGCGGCAGGCGCCTCCCGCGAACTTCCTCGGCCCCTCCTCATATGCGGACCTAGGAACCTTGCCCGAGAAGGCTGGAGGGACTTCCTCAGCCTCCACCGCCAGAGACCGTTGAACCTCGCCCTTTCTTCCTTCACATTGGCTAGCTAATAAAGTTTCTTTTTACCTTGCCTACTTGCCTTTAATCTCTGGCGCCTGCTCTGGTGGTTGCATAAAACAAATCAGGTGGTGCCGAACCCGGGAGGAGACCCCTCTTCAGGGCCCCCCAAGGTCCGAGGAGCCTCCTCCTTCCACAGCGCGGATGGACCAGGACCTAGACATGGCTTTCCACACCTCCATGTCTCCTAGGGGTGAGTACCTCTTGCCTCCCTCTCATACTCCTTGGCCAGAAGCCCTGCGCAGGCCCAAGGTTTTTTGGTCACCAGGTGACCCACAGGAGAGTTCCCAAAGGTAGAGACGTCTGCCCAAAGGAACTCCATTCCAGTCCATGTGAGACCCGTCCAGGATGGAGACGTCCGCCTGGAGGTAATCTCCATTCCGGCTCCAGGAGCCTCCCGGTCTCTAGTGGCTCCAAAGGACACTTTGTAGCCAGGTAGAGTTTGGTTTCCGCCTATAGGCGAGAGAAAGGCAATGGGAAATCCCCAATCCAAAATACCTAGAGACACCCCTTTAGGGTGTCTTCTAACTAACCTCAAAACTTTACAATTAGAGCAAGATCTTAAATGAAAGCGACTGATTTTCCTCTCCACTGTGGCATGGCCCCAATATAAATTAAACAATCAATCTCAGTGGCCACCTGAAGGCACTCTAGACCGCAATATTCTACTCGATCTTGGCAGTTTCTGCCGGCACCTAGGCAAGTAGTCCAAAATTAACTATATACAAAAGAAGATTTTTTTTTCCTTTTAAGACTTGCGTTCTCGCCCAGACCTGTGTACCCAGTGTTCGATGGCCCAGGTCTTGTTCGCCAAAACCCGGTCCTCGGCCCCCACCTCAACATCAGAGAAGGACTCCACCTCCATTTTAGATAGGGCTGATGGCGGGGCACCTCCCTCCCGACCTTCCAACCCCCCTCCCTATGGACTTCCTACCGCCCCTCCCGAGGCTCCTCCCTCAGCCACTCCTCTCACCCCTCCCTATGGACTTCCCATTGCCCCTCCTGATGCTCCTCCTTCAGCCACTCCTCTCACCCCTCCCTATGGAGCTCCCACCACCCCGCCCGACACTCCTCCCTCAGCCACTCCTCTTACTTCTCCCATTACCACCCACATTCGCTCCAAGACCACGGTAGTGGCCCCCATTAGTCAGTCCTCTACCAGTCAGCCTGCCCCAACCCCCTCTACCAGTCAGCCTGTCTTAACCTACCCTACTGGTCAGTCTGTTCCAACCTCCCCTGCTAGTTTGTTGGCCCCCCTCCGAGAAGTTGCCGGAGCTGAAGGCGTGATTAGAGTCCACATCCCCTTTTCCCTGGCTGACCTTTCCAAAATTGAAGAACGACTCGGCGACTTCTCAGCCAACCCCACCTAATATTCCAAAGAGTTTCGATACCTAGGCCAGGCATACGACCTTACCTGGCATGACTTACATGTCATTCTTACTTCCACTCTTAACCCAGAGGAAAGAGAGTGCATTCTCGCAGCCGCCAGGCAACATGCAGATCAATGGCATTTAACCGACGCCACCGTCCTGTTAGGAGAGATGGCTGTCCCGTCCATAGAACCAGATTGGGATTACCAACTGCAGCAGCCTGGCCGCCATAGGAGGGACATTATGATTCAATGTCTCTTGGCCGGTATGCAGGCAGCCTCTAACAAAATGGTCAATTTTGATAAATTAAAGGAAATTATCCAACACCCAGATGAGAAGCCGGCTTCCTTCCTAAATCGTCTTACAGAGGCACTGGCCCAATTTACCCGGCTAGACCCCACTTCCCCAGCCGGGGCAGCTGTCCTAGTCTCCTATTTTATTTCCCAGTCAGCCTCAGATATTCGAAAAAAGCTAAAAAAAGGTTGAAGATGGGCCTCAGACTCCCATACAGAACTTAGTAAAATTGGCCTTCAAAGTTTTTAACTCCAGAGAGGAAGCAGCTGAGGCTGCAGAGCTAGACAAGGAGAAAAGAAGGGCTGTGCTTCAGGCGCAAGCTTTAGTGGCTGCCCTACAACCCGTGTTGCCCACTTTGCCAGCAGGGAAAACCAAAGATAAGTCTCTTAAGGGCTCCTGCTATAAATGCGGAGACCCAGGACACTGGGAAAACCAGTGTCCCCAGGCCAAGCCGGCCACTCTGTCTGGTCCATGCTTTAAGTGTGGCACAACTGGGCATTGGCCAAAGAGGTGTCCAAATCCTCGCCCGCCTACCACGTCGTGCCCAACCTGCCAACAGGAGAAACATTGGAAGTCTGATTGCCCCACCAGCAGGGCAGGCATTGCACCTCAACATGGTGCCTCTCCTCAAAGGCCAGAAGGCTCCTTCCAGCTTTTACACCTGGACGACGACTGATGGTGCCCACACTCAGAGACCCTGGTCACCCTCGCTGAGCCTAGGGTAACTCTACAGATAGCGGGTAAGCCAATTTCTTTTCTCATCAATACGGAGGCTACTTATTCTGTTTTGTCAACCTATGGAGGTCCTAGTCAGCCATCCACTATCTCAGTAGTTGGGCTAGACAGTAAACCGTCTAACCCTCGCCAGATCCCAATGTTAAATTACTGCCTGGACTATGCATGCTTTGCCCACTCTTTCCTCATCATGCCCTCTTGTCCCACCCCCCTCTTGGGATGAGACATCATAACCTAACTCAAAACATCTATTCCCCTTCTTTTTCTCCAGGTGACCAGGTTCTGCCCAAAGATCAACACCCTCCTCAAATTTTCCCACTTCCTCACTATTCTTCATCTTAACTGACTTTTCCCTCATAAACCCCATAGACACCCTCCTTCCTGACCCATCCCCCAACCAGTAGGTTTCCCGACTTTTTACTCTCATAGAAGACCTAGCTTGGCAGGGTGCCCTTTGTGATTTCAGCAATGTTGAACTTACCCTCTACACCTTTGTCATCATTATTATGGTTCACTCTAATTCCCCTAGTTACTCCTACTAATCCTAACTTTGTATGGAGATTCTCTATAACTGAAACCTGGTCTACAGACAACCAATACACTCAGTCATGCAGGGCACTGCAGATTGTCCCCCCCACCCAGGGTTGTCACTCTGCCCTCTCCCTAAATAAAATGTGGACTCATTAGGCCAGGACGAAGGACAGATACGGGGAAGGAGAGGCTATAACCAGAAGGCAGTAGAAAGCCCAGACCTCCCAAAGGGCCCCTGCTGCACTCAGTCCCTGTTGAGTCAGAGATAGGGAGAAGCCAGGAGGTAGGGGAGTTGGTGAGGGGAGCAGCCTTGGTGAGCGGGAGGTGGAGAGATGGAGACGGAGATGGAGATGGAGACAGAGAGATACAGACAGAGACAGAGAGAGGCAGAGATGGACAGAGACAGAGATGAAGAGATAGAGATGGAGACAGAGATAGGGAGAGACAGAGATGAAGAGAGACAGAGTGAGACAGAGATGGAGACAGAGATAGAGACAGAGACAGAGATGAGAGACAGAGATGAAGAGAGACAGAGTGAGACAGAGATGGAGAGAGATAGATGAAGAGATACTGAGATGGACAGAGACAGAGATGAAGAGAGACAGAGTGAGACAGAGATTCTTTTTTGCTACTGTACCCCAAACTCTTCATGGTGTAATTGCACTCAAGTTCCCAGCAAGACCCAGACAGCCCCCGTTGGAGGCTACTTTTAGTGTAACCAAACTCTATCTAAAACTCTTAACCATACCCCCATCACCCAATCCCTTTGCGTTCCGGTATCTTTAGTGCCTAGCTTAACCCTATATAGCGAAGGAGAATTGTCCGAACTAGCTTCCCAGCTCAGCCCCAGCAATAACATCCAAAAGCAGGCCGTTTTTCTTCCCTTAATTATCGAAGTTTCCCTAGCATCGTCCCTAGTAGCCTCAGGACTTGGAACAGGGGCCCTCACCCACTCGATTCAATCCACACAGACCCCCTCCACTGAGGTCCAGGCAGCCATAGAGGCTTCAGCTGA